CGAGAAAGAGAGGGACTTCACTGAAATCCTAAATCGAATAGAGATAGAAATTCAGAAATCAAATAAACGAGTTCTTACCAGCGGACTACAGTAGACAGATGTGGAATCAGGTAGACGTGAAGTGGCAGTCGAAGGAGGATTTCATGAAGGACAAAGCTGAGGACTCGATGGAAAAAGGGAATTGTTCAAAGAAATAAAATCAAAACCAAAATTAAATGGTTGGCCTTCTCAGCGGTTGGAACAACCGCTGGTGGATTGGCTGTCAAAATTAGAAAATAACAAAGCCCGGAAGGGGTTGGGAAAACCGCAGAGAATAAACCCCTGGGCTAGACCCACTTCCTTGTAGTGTTCCCCATGTTCAAAGTTAACAAAAAAGCCCATTGTACACTGACAACAACATCATGCTCTCATTAATGTTGCTATGTCTCGCCCATCGGGTGTCCCTAACTGCTTAGTTACTGATTAGGAAAATTCTATTTTCAATCAAATTTAATTGGGTATATCTGGTTGGCATTCAAAAAAAAAAATTCACAAAAATTTTAATTAATTGTGCTTTTCATAATGACATCTGATATATTTTGAAAAAAATTGAGACATATATATCCATTTATATCATGGTTGTAATGCTTGCTAGTTGGTAGTACATAAGATTATATTGTGATAGCATGAAAGTGTAAGTGTACCATGATGTGTGATTATACCACATTGTAGAGTACTAGAGTAATTATATACATTATAGTAGGAATATAGTAATAATCATTTACCATCGTATACTACCAGTTACCACCATGTACCAGGATGGTATATGTGATATATTTGGTCTTTGAATTTTTTTTTTCCAGAAATCTGTAGATCACAATAAAGTATAAACTCATTCATTCGGTGAGATTTTTCCAAATCTTAATTTAAAAACGAATGACATATTAAGTGGTATCAGGTAATACCAATGTGGTAATGGGTAGCACGGAAACAATTCACAAAATATATAAAAAAATTATCACAATCAACTTATTACAGTTGTGCAACAAAAGTTAAATCAAAGTTAGAACAATGAAGATATGAATAGATTAAAAATATATAAAAACATTTTAATCTCACTCATCAAATCTGACTCAACTCGAAATCAAGAAGTTATATTTAGAGGTCGTTTGAAAGTTGAGATTTCATATGATATATTCATGCAATACATGTAATTAGGAGAATTCGTCGTCTTTTTTGTCTTAAAAAGAAACATAAAACATTTATTTGAGCAGAAGATGAGCCCACCAGAATCATTCATTATGGATTATTGTCAATCTCTCATTTTTTTCTTCCACATTTTTTGAGGGATCACCAAAAACATTCAAGTTTCAAATAATATACTTTTCAAATTCATACATTGACACAATACATCTAATAAGAATATATCAATTGATTAAAACATCAATTTAGAGAATCCTAACTACAGAACATAAACTCAGTTATGCATAAATGTATAATCAGGAGTTATGCACACTACCTGCCTACCGATTGTTTTATCTTGGGGAAATCTTGGGGGATAAGATCGTGAGTAGCGGTTGATCGGTTCATTGTTCAAATATGAGGGATTGGTCATTGTTGTGATGTTTGATGAGCAGCTGAAGTAGTGGTTAATCGCTTCATCTTTTAGGGTTACTAGATTGTATGCGCCACGCTTTGCTGTGGCAACCGGCCGGGCAAGTGTGTGATTATTGCTAAATCGATAGTTTTTTAGGACCATAATCGATTAAAACAAATTTGCGACTAAAATGTACATTTTTTAAGAAATGATTATTTTTCCAAGCAGATTATTGTTTATACATAACGATCGCTTATGCACTCATATGTTGACTTACTTGTGCCAATAATCCACTAACTAGGAATTAGCCCGCGCTCTGCCGCGGGGTATGTTGATTTATGTCATCAGTGTACATGGGGAAGTAAAACTGCGTGGTTTCCCAACCTACACCAATCATCATTGTTGCTAAACCAAGAACAATAACATAGATGATTCATTACAGCTAAGTGCACAAAAAATGAACTGGGGATTTAGTTTGTTAAGGCAAAGAAACAAAAGCCAGTACAAAATCATCTTGTTGAAATCCAAAAGTCTTTGCAAACTAAATAAGCAAATGTGCACATTGTTTTGTCTCCATGGAAGCTGGAGAACAGGAACTTAGTTCAAGAATGAGGATATTAGGGGTAGATAAAGTGCATCAGCAAGTCTTTCTGTCATCGATGTAGACGATCACTTGTCCATTCTTGAGGTATGCCAAAGTGTTGAAACTCTTATGTGTGGTTCGACTGGTGAAGTCTTGTTTTCTAAATCTGAGCAACCGATGTATAGCTCTCCTGCAAACATCCTGGTACACTTTCTGATCAGCAATGCTTTGGCAGATTCTGCTTTGAGTTTGTTGTACTTGCTGGGTGACATGCCAATTATTGAGAGAGTTGCCTCATGGTCCAGTATGACATCAATATCATCAGATCCATGTTGACATTTGACTTCCAGCTGATAGTGCAAGCTAGTTATAGATATAAATGGGATTTTTTGTTAGCTTATTTGTTGATATATTAATAAGCATAAGAAGAAGTGTTCACACTGAAACAAAAACTTACTCTGGCCATTGCTCAGTTGTTCGGCAAATGCCTCTTCGAAACTTCAATTGTGATATGTAAAACTTGGCACGGTAAAGTATCTAATACGAATGGCAATTGATGATTAGATATGTGTGTATGTAAAATTTAAGTGCAAGATGTTGGCAAGTCAGATATATTTAGTTCTTAACGAACCTTGTGGTAGCTCTTATCAGATCCAAGCATAGCTTTGATGTCAGTGAGTGTTTTCTTTTGAATTCCTGGTCGAAGGCAGCCTGTTTTCACACCGGTGTTGGCATCCATGTAGTAAACTTGTTTGCGACTATGAAGGAAGCTGGATTGTAGCAAAAAAACAAAAAAGCGTTAGTTTTGTTTCAATTGATTGGCAATACAAATTAATTGAGAAATGAACAGTATATGTGCATAGAGAAGTGTACATGTGCATAATTTCTTTGACCGAGTGTGTGTAGGATTGTATTATCAGATCACTGGCAGGAGTGGATTCGAAATGGTACTTGTATTTCTGGTTGGATAGAGGTGGCACTCGAATGACAGATTTGATTGTAACAATAAGAGGCAAGTGAGCTTCAGCTGCAGGCGCATTTTCTAAGAACTTCAAGATATCACATCCTCGATAATGAATAGTTGCCTTAGCGCCGCTGTTTACGTGGACAAATATTAAGTTTGTGGATCCATAGAATTCACAAATGAACACACTATTTTAGAAAATGTACCTCACATCCTGTACAACCATGTGAAATTCTTTGAGAATACCACGAATTGTTGTGGGAACACTTAGAAGCCTAATGCATACAGTGATGTTTGTCGTTAACAAAAAAAGTTTGTCATTTTAAAGTTTAGATTCATCTTAGTATGGTAAACAGAGATAGTCAAATGTACCTGTATGGTAGTCAATGGTGTTTGTCTGAAGAGGCACCATCGAAAAAGCCATCCCAATGTCCCAGCCAATAGGGAAGCGCGAGTCATCTGGGTCCTCTTCAACCCTGGAAATGTTTTGTTCGGGATTTATGTGCAACCTTAACTCTCCCGGAACAATCCTCGGATTTTCCCTCGCTGGTACAGCCAGAACCGAATCAAATTGATAAAGGTTCCCGACTTTTATTTTGCGAGATATCTCGGTGATGTCTTTTTCATCAACCATTGACTCGATCAATCGTGCCTATAAGAACAACACTTGAGCGAGTTCAAACTATACAATGCATTTGTTGAAAGTCATTAATGAAAGGACTGTGCAATTTTGTAATTGGATTGTAACAAACCTTTTTATCTATCCAAATCATGTGCATGCTGAGATCTTTAAGTTTGGGTGCCTCTCGGAATTCGAGCCATGTAATCACAGGTCGAGCAATAACTGTGCGAACGTTGGTGCCCAAACGCAATCCCCGAAATGGCATGCAAGTTTCAATCGGGTCTGTAAGACAATAAAGGGAAACAAAATGGGTATTTTATCTGTTTTGCAGAGGAATCGAGATTCTTGGGAGGATTTTTTAACAGAAATGGAAGGCATGTACCTTGGTTATCGGTGGGGACCATGTGACCGCCCTCTGTTGACTGGTTTTTTTCGGGTAAACTGTCCATGTTAGGTGGGGTCTCTGGCCAAGCAACAGAAGTACCGATGAGCAGTAATTTCCCAGATGTAAAGGCGGTGAAGAAGAGGGAGACGTGGATTTACCTTGGTTTCAAAGATTGTCTGGTAGTTTCTGTGGTGGGGCTTACGCGGCGGAGAAGGGTTGATGAAGATGTGGACGGCTGCTGTGGTTGGTGAGGGATGGTAGGGTTTAAAGGGGAGGTTCGATTAGAGTGCTCATATTGGGCGGGTTTACAATGGGCCTTTATCTGTAGCCCTAAAGCACCATTTGGGCTGGGCTCAAATGCACTTGATTATCATCAAAATGCAGAAAGAGACGTCAATTTAAGAAGTAGACCAGGCCCAAAGACGTTTGGTCCATAGTAATTCAGGCCTATGGAAATAGGGCCAAAACATCAAAGCTACAATGGTTTTAAGCGTCTGGCTTGTCTGAAACACGAGCACAAATATTTGTAAACTGTTTTTGTTTTACAACAAACTGAAATGAAGTTGACGAACTGTATTATCATCAAAAGCAACGGCACACAAAGATTGCCATACTGTGGAAGTTTTGAATCACAATAGGGTTTACTAATGTGTTTAAACTTCTAGGCTTCTAATCCAGACCAAGAAGACACACCCAAATCAGTTCGAAGTTGTGGTGCGCCAATCGTAGTAGACAGATCTATGAAAAGGGCAAGAAATGTTAGCTAATACGGTTGTAGTTTTGATAGTAGGTTAGATAAACACAATCATTTTTAGTTTTGAGAATTACCTTAATGCAATGTATAGCAGGTGCACAACCCACCCCGACCTATTAGCCAGTGAGGATATCACTGAATGCCTCTGCAAACACAATGTTTCTTGTATAGTTGTTTGGAATTTCTGCTGGATTCTCTATTAGCATTCGCAAACCTGTTGCTGATCGTACCCTTGAAACTCCCACGTATAGCTGTCCATGGCTAAATACTGGTTCTGGCAAATAGATTCCGACTTTGTCAAGCGTATGTCCTTGGCTCTTATTTATTGTCATTGCATAACATGTGCGAACTGGGAACTGACGCCTTTTGAGTATAAACGGCCACTTGGAGTTTTCTACATTGAGAACAATTCTTGGAATTATGACTTCGTCAGTGTCATAAGAACCTCCCAGGATGTTGCCCTTTATGAAATTGTCACCCAACACTGTGATCATAATCCTTGTTCCATTGCAAAGACCCAAAGCTGGGTTCAAGTTTCGCAGCAGCATGACTGGAGTGTTTTTCTTCAATGTAACTTCATGGTTTGGCACTCCATTGAATGTAAGTGTGTTGAGAAACTCAGTTGGGTAGCATTCATCAAATGTAGATGATGTGTCTGTGGATTGCAGCAATGAATCAGAAATATAATACGTCTTTGAATCACCAGGAACCCTTTGCATCGTATAATCATTAATCTGAGACACGGTTGCATTCCTTGGTGCAACTATTGCCCTATTTTTTAGATATGCTGGGCGCCTATAGTTGGTGTCAAATGATTCATATATATTCTCTGCAATTGCTTCAATGTGATTTCCCTCATGTTGTATAAGAAACAACTCAGGTATTTGTATCCAATCAGCTGGAGAATCTTCCTTGAAGGCCTCTGTTTTAAGCTGGCCATTTCCCAAAGCCAAGACCCATTCCGAAAATGTGTAACCGTGTAGCTGCTGCCTTTCATTAGGCAAAGAACCTGCTATTCTCATGTTTGCCGATAGATGCATGAGTGCAAAAGAACTCCATAGAGATGATCTTGTTAGAGACCCATCGACTGTTTGCTCACGCCCAGCCTCAGCTATGACCAGGAGTGTTTGTCGAAAATATCCACCAAAAAGAATGGTTTTGCCACCAAATGGCTTATACTGCGGTCCATTCAATGGAACACCCATAATGTCGCATAAAGTATGTTCTACTGCCTCAAAAGCATTTCGGTGCGTCATGGGTGCTTCATCCCATATTATGAGAGAAGCTAGTGCCACAAGCTCAGCTAAGTATGTTCCATGTTTAATTGGGCATGTTGATGTTGCATCCAAGATGAGTGGAATTTTGAACCTGGAATGTTTGTGGTTGCATTAGGTAGCAATGTTGCTGCGATTCCAGATGAGGCAACCAAAATAAAAATTTTGCCCTGACTTCTCAGCCTTGCTGTAATTGCGTTATACACAAATGTCTTTTCCGTACCCCCATGACCATATAAGAAAAATGGAGTTCCGATATTGTTGTGCACTGAGTTGATAACTGCTGTGTAAACATGGAGTTGTTTGTCGTTGAGAGAATGCAGCATAGAGGCTGCCAGCTGTTGTTGTTCTACTGTGTCAAATGTCAGATGATCATTAACCAATGGATTTGTTCCATCATCTGGCACAATATCAGTGGGAAGAGGAAGATTGAAATCTTGGAGAGTAGATGAATGTGAGCTTAAAAGTTTTTGTAATTGGTGTAGCACCCAATTCTGCAGTCTCTCATCAGTTGGTTCGTGGCCGTTGGTTCTTGAGTTATTGGCTGAATTATATGCATAATCTTCTGCCATTGACCGTCAAGCAGATGTAAATAATGTCAGTGGGCAAGGAATTTCGCAGAACATCAACATCGAAACAAAGGTGTTCCGAATAACCCTTGGCATACTCGAGGTAGAAATGTCATCCAAGACTTTTATCCATTCTGGAGAGCTAGATAGGAGTCCTAATTTCTGGCAAGCTTTCTCAAAGACCAGGCAGACCTCGCCTCCAACAGTTTTCAAATGAGTGTAGCTCAATGCTCCACGAACCTTTGTCAATATGATCCTCAAGAAAAAAACGTCACCAGATCCTGGAGGAACATAGGCAATCCTCCCAATTGTGAAGCCTTTCTTGCGTGGACTCCACTCCTTACAATCGGAGAGCCATGTGTATTTGTTAGGTATTTGTGAATAGGTGAGCAATCTTGCCTCTGGGTCCCTGCGGTTCAATGCAAACCATTCTGTCAAATATGTTTTCCTAGCATTGGAATTTGCCAAAACATTTCTGATACTTGATTATTTTTTATAGGGAACCTTTTGCTGACCATCCAAATGAACCCCCAACCGAACTACTGATGGTTCTCTAACATGAATGGGATATTCGTTGAGCCTCCATATAGCCTCATAAGATGACAACGATCTGCAATCTATGAACTCTTGGATTTCATCTCTGTTCCCACCATGCTGCACAGAAGGATTGTTACCAGTATTTGTATCGTTCTCAGCAATGACCAGCGATCTATCTGGTCCTTTGGTAACATACTTAAAAAGATACTTGATCAATTTTCCTTTGTGACATATTTCGACATTGATGTGAGCTTGCATGCGTACCAACAAATTCCTATTGTACGGAACAACATGTCGATTATCCAACAGAACAGTGCCTTTTTTAATCTAAATTCCAGAATCTGTTCTTTTGTAGACAACATTTCCGTGTTTATCGAAAGCAGTTGCTGAGTTGAATTATTTTGGGAAGTGCTTTGAACACTTACCATTGGCAGGACGTTTTTTTCTCGCATACATGATGCATTGTTGTTTGATTCTCCACATGGCCCATGTATCATGAATTTGCAAACAGCTTCATAACCCAGCGGATCAACATCAGGGTCTGGAATTTCTGCTGAGATGACCTGATCTATGTCTGTTGTTGTCCTAAGTTTGTCTTGTTCAGCCAACCAAACTAATAAGTGAATGTGTGGGAGCCCTCGCTTTTGGAACTCAACTGTATACATTACTGATAGATAATGAAACAAACGAATAACATTAGAGTAACTGTCAAAACGAATGAATGAACGATATAAGAGCAGACCTGAAACGTTGCATGACCCAAAACCAAAGACATCAGTTATTGTAGAAAACTAAAGAATAGTATGGACGAGAACACTCACTTGCAACTGTCTTTCCAAAGTAGGAATTCTTCTTGATATCATCAATCAATATCATGAGTTTAATATGGAAGACTCTTGAAACAACCATGGGTTTATTCGAGCCGCTGGACCCAACAATGTGATCAAATGCCTCTGCAATTTCTGCCCACAGTGAATTGCACGTAAATGTTATAAACAGATCTGGACTGCCGAGGAACTCCACAACTGCCATTGCATCGTGATACAACTGTTGCATATATCTTGGGATGACGATGTAAGTTCCTGGTAGAACAACATGGCCAACTTTATCACCGTCAAGATCACCACGTGCCATAGCATCTTGTAATCCTTGATAAACTTCTGCTCGAAGCTCTGGTTGATGACAACGCAGAAAAGCCAGCCGGTTAAGCTCCACCGAAGAGTAAGCATCAATGCAATAATGCTGAAGTGCCTTTCCAGATTTGACCAGTGTTTGGCCTTCATTCTGACGGTATTGTAGCCTGAAAGCATAATATTCACGTTGGGTGACAAATTGCCTACGCATAGAAGGAGGGCAGCAAGCTGGTCTATATTTAATAAGCGGGTGATAACCATCTTCTCCATATGGAAACAATAAAGGGAAATGAAGAGCATCAAATTTTGGATTAAGACTTGTAATGCGCTTAAGACCGTCATAGACATGATCACCTATGATATCCCTGTCATCTCTATCGGGAATGAAATCACCAGGTATAAGTGCTGCAATCTCAGAGGCTTGGGGCAAATCATATTGTCTATTTCTACTTTTTGCTCCAATGATCCGAAGTTTCAAATTCGGAGCATCCACCTCTTGCAATTGGTCACGAACCCGCCTGAAAGTCCTCACCAACTCATTGTGCTCATCTAACATCTGTAACAACAAAGTGAGCAACTCTGGCATAAGCTTTGTGTCACGTGAAGCAAAGTTTGACAAACGGTTGTCAATCTCATTTTCAGGTTCAAATATATAAAGCTGAGCAAATTTGGGACGTTGTCCCTCTGGCGGCATGAGCGACCCAATTCTGTGGTAATTTTCTCCACATATAACCATTGAATATGGTCCTCTACTTGCCACACTCCGTGGATCAATTGTAGCACCAAACGAAGTGAAGCAAAGCGAACCGTTGTATGGTCGAATGTTATCTCTAAAATGTTTAGACATAGGCCCCCCATCAATTTGCAGAAGTTCAGTCAATAAAGGCGGAGGTTCTCTAAGCAATGGCAAAGTAACTCGGCCTTTCTGGCAGCATAGAGTGTACAACGGATTGGTTGTTGATCGCCGCCTATCTAGTCGTTCCAAATACCAAAACATAGCACCACAAAACTTGCAAACGCATTCTGGCTTGCCTATTTTCAAGATGTCATCATGTAATGGCACTCGAGCAGTAGGAATGTGTTTTGTCTGCACAACTGGGACCACAGATTGAGGATGATTACTGTCTTCACCTGAGCGAGATTCCGGAGGAAAGTCAGGAACACCACTATAAGTAGATACAAAACATGTGCTTGATCGTGTGAATGCATCCTTTTCGTTTGCTTGTGTATAAGGTGAGGTTGGTTCGTGCAGAGATTCATCTGGAACAATGCTTCTTGATCTCTTTGATCTGAGCAAGTGGTACTGTCCCTTCCTTTTGCGTGGAGTCATCCCTACTAAAGACACATGAAACCCTTTTAGAGAGTTAGAGGAGCATTTACTGCTTGAATGTTTCTCCAACTGAAACAAAAACAAAGGCATTAATGGCATGGACATTCACAACAAACCCAATAATGAGGCTAACTAATGAGTTCATCAAGCAAACCTGGTCTACAGATGACTGTAACTTTTGGAAACTAATGAGAAGAGCATGCGTGTAAGTGAAGCATCTAGGTCAGTCTGGCATGAATGATTATGGAAAGGCGATGGAGATCAGAATTGAAACAAAAGATGAAGTTTAAGGTCCCATTTTATTAACTTATAGCAGAAGCAGCGAATGACAATGAGATTGAGAGAGGATGTCTTGTGCTATAGTGGTGATGAAGAAGAGAGGTAAACAGAACATGATATTAGGCACACATTAGCACTTTAATTTTTAAATAATAGATACTTGACAGTTTACTATGTAAAAGACGGCTGCAATTAATGCAAAGCCCTTGAGGGTCAGTCCATCATCTTCCACCACACAGGTTATAGTTGCAATGAGCAAGAATGCAATCATTCTACTGACACCTTCATTTAATGTGAGCAGTGGCATCTGGCAGTGGATGTTTTGGAATAAAAATCAACGTGGGCCAAATCACAGATAACTTTTCTACTAAACATTTAAGCATTCCTGTGGTATTTAACCATTAACAACACAACAGTGAGGCCGAGGATTTTTGTGGGTAATCTAAGGGAAAAAGCTAACCGAATGGCAAGCATGGATTTTAATCTACAACGATAATTCAATAACGGTTTTCGTCAACAAAAACTTAATATGTAAGCAACCGATAGACCTGGAGCATTATGTGCGAAAGCATACCAACACCGTGATTTCAAAATCAATAATCTGATACCCCTATCATACGAACACATGATCAACGATAGCACAAAAGAGCATTTCAATTACATAGGAAGATCCACTTGAACATAAACAATCTGGGAACATTACTTATCCGAAACTTTCATGACAATTCCTTGTTTTTGTAAAAAAGGATACCCTACATGCATGGGATTACAACAATTTTAGGTAGAGCATCATCGTTTAGCATCAGACATTAATACTTGCTAGAGGTGCACATGATCATCTAAACCAGCCTTCCTTAGAGAAAACATGTCTTGGCGAACAAAAGAACCCTTAACCGACCCCATAGCTTCTGGGTAAAAGGCACCAAGGCGTTCCACAACACACACACAACACTGACCTGTGGAACACAAAAGACCTCCAGCACAGACCTCCAACACCTACAACATAAACCAAAAGGAACACAAAACTCAAATTAAGCGTGGATGACTTAGTAAAATGGAATACTTCAAAATTATCAAATTCTTGGCTTCCTGGCACTTCAAAAGGGCTGCATTGTTTCTGAACTTGTATTAAAACCCAGAGGAGAATCAAACAGGTGGTCTCTTACATCATTTCTTGAACAAAGCACGCTTTGCAGCAGGCCTCTTTTGAGCATCGGGCGGTAAAGACTCGACCTCATCAGTATTGGCCAAAGTTCCATCACCATCCTTGAGGGCATCAATTTCAGAGGCTGTCAACTTCTCGACTTTTATCTTTGCCAACGGGGACAACAACCTGCATGCAAACAAACAGCTAATCATGAGTGCACCATGGGATTATGTCTAACTTTGGAAGTATTATAACAAACAACAAACATACAAAGTTGCTGAAGGCAAATTCGATGCAGATTGCATAGCGCTCCCAGGAGAAGCCGTTTCATCATGCTTAGCAACCTTAGAATCACCAGCGAGCAAATCATCCTCAAGATCATCGATGGCAACGGTCCCACCAATTGTAAATGAGGGTTTGAGACCATCTCCTACAACAGGTGCAACAACATCCTGATGATGTTGCTTTGCAGGAGTGTTTGTCTTTGAAGAACCATCTACAACAATTTTCTCAATTTCTTGTGTCATTGGATTCTGTGCTGACACACCATCAGATCTTTTAGGAGGACTTTGGCTCCCAACAATTCGAGGCAGATCAGGTTGAATGGTTGGCAAACATACACTGGAAGACATAAGAACAACACAAAATCATATAATCCGCAGAGAAGATGAGTGCAAAAAAAGAAGGAATTTGTTGTCAAAATCACAGCAGACCAACCTTATTGGCTCGTCTGAATCATGACCAATACTGAACGCATGATTTGGGGTTTCAATTGGCGAAGCATCAATCACCTTTGCTTTCCCTTTCTCAGCACGTGAAAGCCTACAGGTTAGAAACATTAATTAAACGACAAAAAAGACCTAGTGTGTATGTAGAGCAACAAAGGAAAACAGAAAGGGTCATTAGCAAAAGCAGATCTTCCAGAGCCAGATGATCCAACTATATCTGATGGTGGTGAAGTCTGTGCTGCAGCTACATGGACAGGCACTTATCCTGGTTGGACAGCAGCTGGCAATGCAAGCTGAGGATGATACTCAAGCATGTCAGCAACAACTTGAGGATCATCAAGTGGTACAACCTGCGCAACTCGAAATTCCCCTGATGTAAACCCAGTCGAACCAAGGGGCGGTAGCCTGCAATCAAGCTTAACATAGTGGCCACGAAGTTGGTTGAGCTGTGGCGGCAATTGTCCTGGGCAAAAGGGAAATCGCTGTGCCAAGTAAGCCGCCGAAACATTAACCAATGCATGGCCACACCCACCCATGGCAATGAATCGGGCCTCAGAAGTGTCATCGTTCAATGTAAACTGGATCTTGTAGCTACAAATCACAAAATTCAACATCAGCAAAGTACAATAATCATAAACTGTGCATGAATTGCCAAACAACATAGACAACAAAAATATTTGAGTGAATACTTAAAGCGGATCTGATCTTCTTTCAGCTGCCAATCTTTCGAGCACCAAAATGTATCATCACGACGCTTTGAAACAGCCCTTGAACTGAGTCTGCACGAATTATAGTACCATGGGACATTTGTCTCGACATTGACAATAACTCCACCACATCGAAACCTCTCTTCCTGTCAACGAAATGGCAGTCAAACAAACGTACAATGAAAGAAACTACCACAAAATGAGAACCAAGAGTTATGAACAACAAACAGACCGTTGAACCACCGTTATGAGCCAAGGTAATCAATTGTTGAAGAGTCCTTGTACGTCTATCTGCATTAGCCGCTGCCTCAACAACTGTTGCAAATTCAACCGGCAGGGAACCAAAAACCTCACGCTTCTCAGCAAACCTGGTTAAAATGTAAGCAAACAGATTCATCATTCTAAACAATATGTGCCAGAAAAAGAAATTAGGAACGTAGAATCTGGTTTACCTAGATGCAAGATGATAGGCCTTTGGGACTGGCGGATTAACAGCTATGCGTGTAGCAGCTGAACTGGACAACACACAAGAACCTGCAAAGCAGCTGTGTAAGCACTTTCAATCGAGACACAAGCCAAAAAAAAAAAAACATGCAGAAGACGACGTACTTCCCAATTTGTTGACCAAAAGACCACCAAATGCCAAGATAACAGGTTCAATACAATCTGCCTGAGTCAGAGCAACGTGGTCCAAGATCCCCGAGAACTCGTCCCAAAGAGTAATTGTTGCCTCCATCCCACTACGAAACGGCATGCAAAGTAAATCAGAGAACCTTTAACAACAGAAAGCAAAAACACACCTCCCTCACCCAAAAAAAAGTCACCTTTCATCCTCTATGACAACAGTCTACTTAACCGTTGGACCATTGTTGGTTATTTTGTGCGATATCCCACTAATAGAATGTAGACGACCCGCCACATCTACAACCACGACAAACAACTACGCGTTCAGACCACTCAACCAGTTAAACAGGTGACAAAAGGAAGCCAGAATAAGCACACACCTGTTAAAACCCTATGGTCACCAGCACGCGATAGAAACTGAGATATTGGCAAGAACTCATAAGAGTCCACTGCAAAGCTTCCAGCTGGCAAGGTGCACTCCGTAAAAGAAGTCGAAGGTGTGAGGCTCAAGGCCAAGTCGAATGAATACGCCCGATACTGGTGCGGTGGATTGCCGAGGCCAAACGATTGAATGATATAAACTTTCCCAACCGAAAGATTCTTTCGGATGCCATTAGCCATTGACGACGGCGAAACCCCGTGAATCAAAGTACCCTGCAAGCAAAGAGGAAAACCATTAGCGTAAAAGCAACGCTTGCAAGCGCAAAAACACGACGCAAAAGAGAACATGGGAAGAACAAAAACATACAGTCTCATCAACCCAGAGGGTGGCGTAGTTGTAGACGCGAGCATCACCGGGCGATTTTGCAGCCCATGCATGCAGCAGCCTCAGGCGCAGTGCAATATCCGGCTTGCGTGGACCGGCAAGGTTACAGAGCAGAGTGAACTCCATTCCAAAGCTTGGGAAACAACCCAGAAACA